AAGATAGAATTTATCTCTGGGGTATTGCTGCTGGAGAGAATGGTTAATTCGTGAATATTTTTGTGTGGGTGTTTGGACGAAATTGTGATTTGATCTTTTTTGATATTGGTGATATACCAAATAATTTTTGTGGATTTATTCTTTAATTTTAGTTTTAAGTTAAATGCTGTTGTATTCACTTGATAAAAGTTGTTCATAGCATTTTTTACATTTTAGGGACATAAATATTTATTTAGGGAGTGATAAGCAATATAAAGAATATTTAAATGTTATTAATGAGTTTGGAATGAATTTGTTAAGTTTTTAATTTTTGCTAAGGACAAATTTGTGTTTTTAATAAAAACTGATTAAAATGCAAGTAGTTTTGTGCTTAGCTATATTATGGTATCAAAAAGCAATCGGGAGTGAAGCAATTAATCGTTCTTGCGGTATATAAATTATATTATTTGGTATTTTTATTTGCTCAAAAATTGTGTCAATTTCTGGAGTGTATCGTCAAAAAAAGACGTATAATTCGTGTTTATCGTCGTTAGAGTGTTTTGCTAGTATACTAATATGATCTTTTTCAGTGTTAGTGATATACCATATGATGTTAGAGACTTTATTTCCTAATTTGAGTTTTAAATTTATTGTACTGACGTCACTTTTAAAATGTGTTGACATTAATTTTTACGGTGTTTGTTTTTCTTTTTCTTAAGCTAAGTTGTATTACTTGATTAGTATGTTTTAAAGTAATGAAAACCTCCTTGGAATTATTGAATATTAACAAAGGTTATTAATAATGAAATAAGAAAAAAAAAATTATTTTTTTTTGGAAAAAAAATTTCTAAAATTTTTTCTAAGTTTTTCAAGTTTTTATTCGCTGAAACCTTAACTGAAACCTGAAACTTTGTTCAAGTGAAGTTTTATTGATGCTATGGTATGGTTAACAATATAACTATATGCCTTTTTTGATTATTATTGGCTGAAAACTTAATTTTTTTGTTAAAAAATTTTACAAAAGATTTTTGACTGAAACGATAATCTGAAACCTGAACTATGGTAGCTGAAGTTGAGTTTTTTTTAATCTTGAAAATTTTTAGAAGCTTTAGTATATTTGGTTTTCGCTTTATCTTGCAAAAAAATTCGAGAAAACCGAATCTTTTGATATCTTAAACTTAGTTTTTGAAATCTCAAACATAAAACTCTTAAACTCTCTCAAACTCGATGCATGAAAATAAAAAGTTGGTTTTTGATAGCTGGTCTAGTGTAAATTAGAATTTGGAACAGGTTTGCAACTTCAAAATTAAAAATTTGTTTGCGGAAACCTAAGTTTTTGGGGCTGAAACTATGATTTCTAGAACTGAAACTATGGTTTGACCACTTGGTTTTAGAGTTTTGAGATTGAAAATTTAGGTTGTTCTCTCTAATATATTTCTATTCCAGCAATAAAATTAACAAAAAGATGAAAATTTTAGCCTAAAACGACGATTTTAGTTTTCTGAAACTATAAGTTTGAGGGCTCAAACTAACACCTTCTAGAAGTTTTTTGAGTTCAAAAATTAGTTAGTGCATTAAGGATTCCTATTATCTTTCAATATTTCACAAAAATTTCACTTGGGAAGCAAGATTTTTGGGTCTGAAACTAAAAACACCAATTCTGAAACGTACGTTTCAGCCTTAGGAACCAAATTTTAAAATTGGTTTGGTGGGTTTTAACACCGTTAGTTTTCTCTAGAAAGTCAAAATTCGGCGTTCGGAGCTCAATTTTGAAACCAAAAACTCAATTTTTGTGTTCTGAAACCTGAAACTAACAAAAACGTACCATTTAAGACCAGGTTTTTGACTTATGGTATCCAAAGTTGGGTTTGACTAGTTCAACTTTTGCTGTTTTACCCGAATTCGTTTACAGAAACTTAAAACTTTGACCGGAAACTATACTTATTTTAACTGAAGCGTTTGACCCTATAACTGAAACCTAGACTGAAACCAAAAATTTTGGCTAGTAAAAATCAATTTTTTAGTGCTTAGGCTGTCTTATGAAACCTAGTTTATCAATATAAAGTGGATGTGTCAGTGTTTTAGACTCAGTTTTTGTTGTGAAACCTGATATTTTTGCGCTGAAACTAAAACTTGGTGTTTGGTGTTATGTGGTTAACGTTTAAGATTGGTTTTAGTGCATATTCTTATTGTTTATTAGGTGTAGATTTAAACTGTGTCATAAAAAACTAATGATTTATTAAAAAACACCCAAATCCGTTCCTTCCTTCGTGGTTTTTGTTATTTTCTTCCTTAGTTTCAGTTATTGGTAGCTTTACTGATGGATGATTTAGGTTTAAGTTATGTTAAGGTGGATAGAATTAAAATTAGTTTAAGAAAAAATGAGGATAAGCCTCGAGAAATGATGAAGGATTAGAATAAATAGCAACAAGCGTCGATGGTTTGAGATAATGTGATGAAGAATTCAATTTATCATACAATTTAGGGTACTCTTAGATCGCACACATGATCACTTAACCCCCTCGAAAAATAAATGAAGATATTTAATAAGTTTTTGAGCACTTTAGTTTAATACAGAATTTCGTTAATTTTAGTGATGATAACTTTAAAATGAAGTTTCGGCATAAATTTAGTGGATTACTGGACAAAACGGGTATAACTTACTAGCGGACTTAGGCAGAGAACGATTCTTTCAGAAATTTTATATATTGTTATAATAATATATAATAGTTAAGTTCATGAGCTAATGTCAGTTAGAAAGCCGTATAATAGACCTCGAGATGGAGGAATATCGTGGGCGACTGCTAGCGCAGGGGATGCTTTCGCAAGAACCCTACTAGGAATATCTGTCAAGTAGAAGACAATGAAATTGTGTTTCTATCGAAAGATACCCATTGTCTCTGGCTTTTTGAGGTTGGAAACTAATCTGACAAATACTCACAGATCCTAATAATAATATATTTTTTGAATTTTAAAAGCTGTTTCTATTTTGTCGGAAAAGGAATTTCTTAAGGAGTAGTTCTCTGCTGCGGTCGCACCAGTTTTACTAAGCGCTCATTGCTGGTTGAATGCTTAGTAATTTTATCCTAAGTTATAAGTCTCACCTTAAATAGTCAAATTGTCTTGACAAGAAGTAGAGTAGAAACAATAGTTAGAAAAGGTATGAATTAATTAGTTGGTTAAATACAGAGCACTGGGTAATTAGATTATATAAGCGAATCGAACAGCTTAAAGAAATATACCTATGAGGGGAGGTTGAGTTAATCTTATTTTGTTCATCAATATTTCATCTTCTTACTAAGGTCGATGACTGAGTAGTATTTCTTGGGTTGCCTTGATGTTGTCCACTTGGCACTTCTGGTTTGGTTGTCAGTTTCGTCTTGCCGTAGTCCTTTGGGTACTCGTAGTCCAGACTTTCTCAGATGGGGTTATCTCGAGTATCTCGTTTTTATAATTTTATCGAACTTGAAATGAGAATTTATTCTCTGTTTTATTTGTGAAAAAAGACTAGTTTAATTTTACTGTAAATGCAGAAAAGGAAAATTATTTATTTTTTTAAAAGGTCTAATTGAAGATATCTAACTTGCTGCTAACTGAGCAAAATGAAACACTGAAGATTTCAGGCCAGTCCTTTTGCTCGTAAGCATAAACCGGCGGCTGATTCAATCTTTAATTATTCAGGTTTCACCTGCTCCTTTGTTCTCCCTTTCTTATAAGGGAATTTTCAATTAGTTTTTATTTGATTTTTTCAAATCAAATATCTTTAACTTATTAGTCCTCTTTGATAAAAACCGCAGCCTTCAGTTTGTCTGATTAAAATTTCATATTATTCTCTCTGATGCATCATATTGCAGGTACATCTCTGCTTAATCAAAGCAAGGAGAATTTCAGTGCAGCCCGCAAGACTGCTAAATATTTATCGAGTTTGTTTCAAGTTAAGTTAAAAGGGACGTATTAATAATCGCCGCCCTTTTAAAATATTGAGCATGAAAAAATGAGAAAAGTTGGACAAGTATTTAAAAAGGAGTGGATTTTCAAAACAAGATTTTATAGTCCTAATAAGAGTAAACCAGTCAATATCTGATTTAGTGAAAAGAGGCTTTAATTTAAATGGCACGCTCCAATTTAGAATTGGGTCGTTAAACAAACAATTAAGACAATGGTCTTTTGTCTGTGTAGTATTTCTCAATACTACAATATCGACCAAAAAAATACTTCAAGCCTTTCGTGATTGTAATGTGGTGGGAAGAAAATAGCATGTTCTATTACTGCAAAAAGATCGACCGAGAAAAAAATCAGAGAAAGACAGAATTTTTTTAAAATCTATTTTTTAACAAAACTTACAAATTACTTATGTCTTAACATACAGAATTAAAGTTTTAGTCAATAATACAGACGCGAAGAGGAGCTTCGCACCACTTGCGACACGACACAAACATAGCATTTAAGCTAGCGGACAGAAAATAAGATCAAGTCATAAGGCGATAAAAAACTAATCTATACTTTCACATAGAATTAAGTTCCACCATATTTCACCCATATAGCAATTTCCATCCACCGAGCAGATTAAGCTGAATATAGTCGAAGTCTTGCGTGCATCAATCAGTCATTCCTTACCTGTATTTGAGGTCTAACTGATTTATTAAACCACACTATGTAAGCTCGATCTCTTAAAGGATCGGGCAATATTCTGGCAGATCTTTCAAATAGAGTCCAGAGATCTTCGTCTGGACCCTCGCTGTCATTTTTCTGGACACTCAATTTAGGAGTCAAAGTGCTCGATATGGGTACCGGTGGAGGTAGGGTTGGTGGCACTGGCACCGAATCCATGCACTGTTTTATTCACTGCCAAAATAGATGTCAAATCAGCACTTCGCTATTTCAGGGTAAATAATTGGTGAAAAGATTTTTTTTGAGTTTTCGAAATGATCATTAATTTTGTAGTACGGCTGGCAACAATTAAACCATTATTCATTTCATCTGAATAAAATTTTTGCTTACACGCGACGCGGGAAATTCAATATTAAAAAAGGGTTCTATTTCAAAGAAATCATGTTGGAGAAAATTCAATTTTAAACGAGTAAACAAAACAGCATTTGACAAATACAGTATGGGGGCTGATAAATAACAAAAACCTCACGAACAGAAACATAAAACTATAGGCATAAATCATTCCAAATTTTGCATTCCAGATTTCACTGGAAATAGAATAACCGGTTTCGCTAAATTACATAACTTCATCAGTTTTCAGTTTTGTACGATAGATCTGCAGTTAATTATCACCATTGAAGAGTTCAGCTGCTCTTCGTCACTCTCAAAAGCTGCCTCGTTGTCCAAAACAGTCAAGAATTTCAATCTAGCTTCTTTTCCTTTCAATTTAATCCATTGCTTTTCCATCTTCGTCTTCGGCCCCTCTGATGTAGAGAATATTATTGCACCTTTAAAATATATAGCATTGAACAAATAACATCTATTCACCAGCGGATTTAGGGGATGCGGACGCCCATCGCAGGGATTCGACCCCCTAACAATCCAAAGGGTCCCCCTTTGTACTATTTTGAGATATCCATTTTTGGCTTAGTTAAAAAAAATGTTCTAAAGGCAGAGCGCGCGCCGAAAAACACGATTTTCGTCAAAATTTTTCAAAAATTGCCTAAAAACGCAAAAAACGCCTTTTCTGGTCTGTTTATTTTCAAAATTTGACAAAATGAGGACTTTATAGTAATTATAAATTTGGTCAACCTAAATCCCCCCTCGAGAAATTCTTAGATCAGCCCCTGCGTCTATTCGTCATTTTTCTTATACAGTAGAGGCAAGACTGGCACAAAAATGCAAAGCAATTGACATATAATCTACTACAATTATTTAGAGTGTCAAACGATGAATGTGAGAAACCTTAACTGCACGCCAACAGATAATACCGAGGAAAGCTCAATTCTAAAGTGGACTTTTAGTAACCACATAATAGGCTGATATAAAACAATAAGTTCGGATTTTTCAATGATCTCAAAAAATTAGGAAAAGGTTATTAACCTGATTAAAACCTCGCCCAATGCACCAGCACAGTTTCCGTCAATCCACTCCTCGGTCTGGTCTAGCTGTACATTCATGTATCCGTCCACTGCTATCAGATATCCCTTGTACTCCTGGCCCCACTTCAGACGCACGAACACTGGCTTGCCTGTCAGGTTGTTCAGGAAGGGTTTCGGGTTCAGGGGCATAGACATGATGAAGGAAGGGTGATGGTAACAGTACAGATCTGAAAAGGAACCAACCAAGCATACTCACAAAGTTAAAATCAACGAAACCGAGTCAACCAAGAATCAACCAAGTCCCAAAAATGACCTAAACTAAGTTTTAAACACAAAGGCGAAGCAGAGCCTCGCAGCATTTGCGATACAAAAATGAATGACCGTGATTTAAATGAAATGAAAAGAAATCAAAAATTGAAAAAAAACTTTCAAAAATTGTTTTTGTCATAAATAGCAAAACAAGCCAAAACGTCCCGAACAAAATTACCTGCACAATTAGAAACTATACAAGGAGCTTTCGGAAGGGTAGAAAAAGGCCGAATTTTCTTTAAAAAATCCATTCTGCCGGAACTAAGCCGGCTAATATTTTCAGTTTGCAAAAAAAAACAGATCCCGACTGGAATCGAACTTGAAATTTGTCGTCAAGCATGGGTATTAGAGCAACTTAAAATAAAGTGAACCTTCGAAAAAAATCGGACTACGTCGAACTTTTTTGACAAAAAGAAACAAACAAATTTGCAAAAAAATCCCGGCCGGACTTGAACCAGATGCTTTTTTTTGTCTCGAGCAGGTGTCTTACCTCTACACCAGATGCACCGGTTGATTGAACGAATTTAAATTCATAATAAAGGAAGTATATGAGTGAGCCCAGGAGGTGAGTCTTGTGAGCTAAGTCATTTACGGAAAAAAAGTATAGTACCCTATTGCAATACCCTTGCTTATCGCACGGGTAATACAAATAAAAAAACTGAGACGAAGCTTTCTCAACTGGTAAGCAAATTTATTGAAGTTTCTTTTTTTTAATCAGAATCAAACCTGAAATAGCTTCAACGCAATACATCTATCGACTCGATCGAAAAACTGCTAGGGTCACAATACATGTAAAAAATAACCGAACAGACTTTGATACTGAGACTTTGACTGCTCTGCTATGCTACTTTCATTACAGAGGGGCTAATTATGCAAAAAGAAATTAAACCAATCGACCTTCAAATGGGCCAAAAGTGACTGATTTTTCACGCTTGTCTTGTAGATTAATGAACACTGAATTCGTATCAGCTGATACAATTTTCGGGCTATCTGTCCTTCTACCATGAAGGACTCTTCACCTCTGCAGGGTTAACTTCGCACTTTTTGTTCTAATTATAACGTTATTTTTTTCAATTAATTGGAACCTGATCTAAACTACATTTTATGATTGGATAAATTGGATATTTTACCACTGTAAAGTATTTAATACTAACCAATCATAATCCATCTAACTAACAACCCACTTATTTGTAAGTGCTGAAATTACTTGTAATTTCAGCACCAGAGAGATTTGAATTTAACTTAGAAATTAGTTGCCTCTCCAAGAGAACTTCAGCAGCCGCAATAAACCAGTATACCCTAGATCTATTGAGCCTAGCAGAGACTAGTTAAACACCCTGAGACTAGAAAGTATAAGAGTAAGATTAGGATCGGTATTAGACTAAGAAGTTGCACGAATCTATCCGGCCGAAAATAAGATAGCGTGACGAGCAGACGGTGTACCCTATCGGAAATTACTCTATGAGTTAACCACATCGGTCCTAACTCATAATTTTCGTCAAATCATTCAAAAGTTAAGCTCAAAATCATTGTGAAAGCAACATATTGATGGTAAACGAGGCAGTTCATCTTCCCAAGCGCGCAAACGTTTGAAGATTTAACAGTGTGTACTTATTTCAAAACTAACTTTGTTGAGCAAATTATGTTTATTCAAGTAAAAGCACATCCTGGGAAAAATCATCTTCGTTACTTTCCAAAACAGGCTAGAGGAATTTATTTCGCAAAAGAAGCCACACTTAACTTTCCACAGAAACTTATATTCAGGGGATCATTGCTCGGATAGAGCAAAAAATCTGGTAAGCCACTATAGTTTTGCATAATTACTACAAATGAGAACTTCAAATGAAAACCCATTCAACTGGATATAAAACCTCGCTAAGATTAATCAATTACACTTGCTTAGATTATTTTGCTTATATTTGCTTACATTGCTTAGATTAACCAGTTGAGAATGCGATTCAAAATACAAAACAAAAAAAAACGATAAAAGAATCATATCTTGATAATTTAATATCAAAAAAGACGCTTCAAATATCAGCCAGTTATTTTTTACGACAACGTGTAGTTTTGATAAAACATAGACGCTTAAGACAAAAATCAGCCACTCAACAGTCATAGCAATGAGCAATTTAAGATGATTTTATTAATACCAAACACACAGCACTTTCCAATCATAAAAACACGTTCAAAATGCTTTAAAATTTTCAATTATCGGCGTCAAAAGCTACACTAAAAATGCCAGGCTTATCTAAGGAAAGTGTCATTCTTGAAAAAGGAAAAGCAATACCCCAGGACATTTTTTGCGGAATCTGTGGAAATATCTTATTGCACCCTGTTTTAAACACGTGTCCGCACATATTCTGCTTCGGATGTGTTCGACGGAAACTTTCGTCAACTCAAGCGGCTCGAAAGTGTCCGACTTGTGACGCCGAATGGGAACCCGAACCCCGAGAGGCTCCCGATGAGCTCAAATCTACTTTAAGCAATCTCAAATTCCACTGCCCTCATAAATGCGGAGCCGAGCTGCATTTAAACGAAAAAGAAACTCACTTCAAGAAATACTGCCCCAACACTATACTCGACTGTCCGAATCTTAGCAAAGGCTGTCGGAGTAAAACAGAGCGCAAGCATGTCGCTGACCATCTGGATCATTGTCACTACCGAGAGGTAACATGCGAAGCTTGCGGTCACAGATGCTTGTATGTCAACCTTTATGCACATCAAGTTTTGAAACGATGCGTTCGTGACTCGCTGAAAAAACAGTACGTCCAGAGTCTTAAGAAGAATCATGACATGTTAGTCAACTACAGTCGATCAATGAAACAAGATCGGATTAAAATATCCCAAGAAAATCACAATGCTGAGATAAGGTACAAAGGATTGAATCCTCTAAGGTACCGAAGATTGTACTCGAACTACGGGACCCCAAGTCCTCGACATGCATCAATATATGACGAGCTGATGTCTCGTCCGGCCACCTCAATGAGCTCAAGTCGCAATGCAGACTACGCGAGGAACTGCAGGCGTTGCAACGTGAACTTCAAACCAACGAAGAACCATGACAAGGCGTGTAGATACCACAGAGAACCTTTCTTGGATCTGTTCGAGGCAAGTAGCATGGATAATTTCATACTTATCAGAGTAAGGCGTCTAGTATTTCTGTTATCACCATTCAATTACACATGCGGACTAACTAATTTTTTCACAAAAAAAATCCCGGCATTTGTTAATGAGTTTTTTGCGAGTGTTACAAAACTTAGAGAAAATAAAAATCATGCTTCAGGATTGTGGCGCGTGTGGCGAAGATAAAGATGTCGGTAAGCCTTGCTTGCGTGGATTTCACATACCATTGTATCCAGCTGCTTTACGACCTTTATCAGCCAGGAATTCCGGAGTGCGTGTGGGAGGTGGGGCGGATTTCAACTCTCCTTCCAGTCTGACAGAGACTAAAAATTACCGAGAGAGATCGAATACTGCACGACTATCTTAGATCATTGAGCTTGGAAACACTAACCAGTTGACTTTTGGTGCTAACTTCTACGTACATATATTGCTGTTGAAATTATCATCTAAATTTAACTTTTGCTCACCAATTCTTTCACAGAATAAGATCGAGATGTGTTACACATCAAATAATACAGTGAGTCGAGAACATCCAAAAGCAGCATTTACAGGATATTCTTTGATATTTTAGCAAAAAAGAAATGACGAGGCTGGCTCCAAAATGGCCCACTTTGCAGAGATTTATTATCATTAGTATATTACTCAAATCACACATGACCTTAAGTCAATTCATGGTACGTACTCCCATGACAATTCAATATGTGTTGTTGATAGTATCACGGTTAAGGGGGCATTTAATTAGAATTCATTGGGTTTTTCTTAGATTATATTTTCAATTATTATTTTGATCAACATGAAAACACTTTTTCCGATTCCACAAAAGATGTATCAAATATCTACTTAGTCTGTTTCTTTCACTTCCTGATTCACAAATCACTGAATCATATCAAACTTTCTGTCAAAAATATCCACTATATCTGTGTGAGAGATAACTCACAAGCGTCAATTGGCATAATAATTAGAGCAGCCACTCTGTAAACGCGCTATAAACTGGACCGTATTACAGAACTCTTCCAACCAAGTTTGTGGTTGCTACAATTCCAACCAATGTGGATGCGAAAGTGTCAGAGGCCCTCAAGGTGACATTGGACGTCTGGGCCCCCTCGGGTTCCCGGGACCCAGAGGAGCTCCAGGATATCCTGGCATACCAGGAGAAAAAGGCGCGAAGGGAGATCTTGGTGACCTCGGAAACAGAGGCATTATTGGAGACGAGGGATCCCACGGCCTTCCGGGGCACCCAGGGCCATCTGGGATTCCAGTAAGATAAATAATATTTCGATGAAGATTAAACGCCGACTCGAAACTTTTGTAATAAGTTTATCATTAACCTTTCGTTTTTTAGAAACGTCTCGTTTTATATCGTTCTTCATCGACTCAGTTGTTCAAAAATAATATCAATAATAGCAATTTACAACTTTTTCTTTTTATTTAGGGTATACCAGGAAGCAAAGGAGATCAAGGCGACCCTGGAACGTGTGGTCTCAGAGGACTAAAGGTGTGTTAGAATAGAATATGCGATCTGCATTTATTTGATCATACATTATTCAACGTTATGATGAGTAACATAATTTATGTAATGCAGGGAGAACCTGGAATTCCCGCAAAAGGACCTATCAATGGATACAATATCGGACCTCCGGTGAGATTGTAAACAGATTTGATTAAAATATGCGGATTCCACCAGGAACTGAAACGTTTTCATTTAAAAAACAGGGAGCAGTTGGATTAAAAGGCCCTGAAGGAGAACCGGCAATGATGCCCATGAAAGTAGAAAGAGGAGCTTACGGAGATCCAGGAAGAAGTGGACCACAGGTAAACACTGCAAAAATGTTCACAGTCTAGTATTTTATGAAAATTTGAACAGCTATCATTCTACACTTTTTTTACCAGGGCCTTACAGGCCCCAGGGGTCTTCCTGGAGTTGCCGGTAAGCCAGGAGTGCCAGGGATTAAGGTGAGCATTGTCGAATCATAATTTTGAATTCTAAGTTGTGATTATCAATTGCTGTCCATTTTCAAAAATACAAGGGACCGAGGGGAGACATGGGACTTGTCGGATTGCCTGGGTACCCAGGTGACAATTACAAAGGACAGAAAGGAGAAATGGGAGACATTGGTCCTCCAGGCATAGACGGAACTTGGGAAAACCTCCGAAGATTAGAGCTTAAAGGGCCACCAGGCGACTACGGACCAAGGGTATCGCCTACCTTTTATGATGAGACCACCAGCTTGAATTTTTCTGAACATCAAATTTTCTCAATTGACAAAACTACAAATAACCCCTACAAGAACAATTTCTTAGTTCGCAAAAAGTTTGATTAACTTCAGGGATCTATGGGTGATCCTGGATACTTGGGTGTTCCCGGAATACCCGGACCTGCTGGTCTGAGTGGCATACCTGGACTGCCAGGGAAACGAGGCGATGTTGGTCCGAGGGGAACTGACGGAAGGTCTGGTGCCCCTGGAAAAAAGGGACTTATAGGAGATGCAGGTGGCGATGGGATGCCAGGAAGAGACGGGGGCTATGGGTCACCCGGTTACAAGGCAATTTACTTCGAATGGTCAAATATAAACCTAACTAATTACATGAGTAATACTGCAATTCAAGGTTTGAACTCACTAGAGGACAATGATTGAATATGTTAAACTTTTAGGGAGACTTCGGAGAACTGGGTTTAGCCGGTCCAGTTGGATTACCAGGTCCGCAAGGATTACCTCTCAATGTGAGTTGTTCAAACTCGGCGAACCTATTCAATTCGATTTACTGTGTGCTAATAATGAACACAAGCCCCCCTTCTAGGTTGATGATGTCGTTAAAATCAGAGGACCTCCAGGACAAGTTGGTGCACCTGGCCCTACGGGTTCTCCCGGTGAGAATGGAGCATCAGGTGGGCCAGGAAAGACTGGACCCAGGGGACTCATGGGACCGTCTGGGAGACCTGGAGCTGATGGAAACCCTGGAATAGGCTTCAAAGGGCCGAAAGGAGACGCGGGAACTTCAGGTTTTTAAATATTATTACACAAACTCTTACGACAGAAAATTGCTTTTAAAGCGGTGGTTTTGTGTAATAAGAACTCCGAATAGAAATTGCAGTTTCTATAGGTTACATGGGTCTCCCTGGAATACCAGGGCTACCTGGATCAGACGGTGGAATGGGTTTGAAAGGCGATAAAGGAGATCCCGGAATACCTCTCGCTGGACCTCAAGGACCAACTGGCCCAATAGGACGGACTGGATCTCCGGGGCTCAAAGGAATCAGTGGAGATGCTGGAAATCCTGGTTAGCAACAGCTCAAAAATGATCAGAAACCAGTTAATACCTAAAACTTTATAGCATCGGCTAATATTTTAGGAGCACCAGGCAGCGGACTGATGGGTTTGAGAGGAATCCCTGGACCAAAAGGACATCGTGGATTTCCCGGTTATCCAGGACCAATCGGTCCTACTGGATTTTTAGGACCAAAAGGCAGGAATCAAAAACATTGTTTAATTGCTACTCTTTTTAGCTTTTGCGAGATTAATGCCATCAACTGATTTAACTATCAGGGACACAATTAAACTTGCTTGTAGGACTGAAGGGCGATTGCAATACTTGCCCACCTCCTCCAAAAGGTCCAACAGGAGACGCTGGCGCAGTTGGTCTGCCAGGTTCCATTGGAGACAGAGGAATCCCCGGATGTGTCGGTGTGCCTGGGATTCCCGGTCTCCCAGGACCTTCAGGAGAAATTGGGCCTCAGGGAGTCAAAGTAACTCAACTACTATTTAATTTTAAAGTTAGGTCAAACCCGCAGCTGACTTTTTTTGTGAATGCAATTAAGTAAGAGAGAACGGCTCTTTTTCCTTCCACCATCTTCAAACTTTTCAGAGTATTTTTCTGTTCACTTAGTCCGATTGCTAATTCGATTACTAATTAGCTAATGGCAAGCATATTTGTTCTTCGTATCTAACCTTGTAAGACTACTCGTTACACCATAATAATGATGCTTATGTGAGGTTTTGATGCTTTTTCCAACCCCTAACCCCCCCCCCCCCCCCCACCTCACTTGCAAATTTTTCTACGCATTTTTCTGTTCACATTGTCCGATTGCCATAAAATTTGACACAGACTAATTAGTTCATGGCAAGCATGTTTGTTCTTCGTATTTAACCTTGTAAAACCACTCGTTACACCATAATAATGTTGATGCTTATGTGAGGTGGGGGAGAGAAAAAAGAGCCGAGAAAATGTTGCTAAATCAATCACTACAACTCAGTTTGATCACGTCAAATCCATGCAAATTTGATCAAAAACATTTCCATTTGCAAACAGGGCATCACTGGTTCTCAAGGTTTATCAGGCACTGATGGTCCAATGGGAGATGCCGCAACTGTGGATGTTACCCAAATAAAACAGGGTCCAAAAGGCGAAAGGGGAGATCAAGGTTACCAGGGTTGCATTGGAGATCCGGGTCCAAGAGGATCTTCAGGGCAAATCGGAGATGTAGGCGTCAGTTTTGGGAGCCAACGTGGACAAAAGGTAAATTACGCAATTTCAGTTTTCTGACTAGCGTTCAATTTAAAATGTTTACCTACGTTCGCTCAAATTAGCCCTCAAGTCAGAAAAGGTCGTGGTTAAAAATAACAATTCCAGGGCGAGGCAGGTGAAATTGGATACATGGGCTACCCTGGTCTTCAAGGCGACCGAGGAGTTAAAGGTGTCAGAGGAATGTCGGGGGACGTAATTAATGCCCCGATTGGCCCTCGAGGTGTCAAAGGAGAGCAAGGTGATCCAGGTTACCAAGGAATGGAAGGTTTCAAAGGGTTTCCCGGCACTTATGTTTCTCCTTCAAAAATTGTGGGACCACAAGGCAGCAGGGGTTCTATGGGTTCCACGGGGAGAAAAGGCCAACAAGGTTAGTTAAGCCGAAAGTTACAAAAGCCAGAACAAAAAATTTTTTGACAAACTTCCATTGAGTAACTTTCGTAAACTCGGCTTCAGAAAATTGCTTCAAAATATGTTCAGGTCCTACTGGTGACACGGGAGACGTTGGATATGCAGGCTACCCAGGGTCCAAAGGAATTCGAGGTAACCCAGGATTGTTGTTAATGGATCAACAAGGACCTATAGGTTTGAAGGGTAAGTTGTTGAAATGCATCAGAAAACATGGAAGGTCGTACGAAACAAATATGAAAGTTAACAATTACATTTCCATTTAGGAATTCTTGGTGAAATCGGCGCTGTTGGTCCAGTGGGATATCAGGGTCTAAAAGGTCAAATAGGAGAATCTGGACTCAGAGGACCAACCGGTCCAATAGGCATGAAGGGTCCCATCGGCGATCTACCAATTGGACCACCGGGTGTCCCAGGAGCTAAGGGAGACACCGGATACCCAGGTCCAATCGGAATGATTGGCGCTCCAGGCAAAATATTGATAATCCAAGTTATGGAATTGAAAAACTGAAGATGTAATTATATGAATTAGATTTGCAGGTCAAAGAGGTCACGCTGGTCAAGAAGGCGACGAAGGACCACCTGGCTGGCCTGGATACCCAGGCCAACAAGGACCGAAAGGATTTAGAGGAAACCCTGGATCTGTAGTCGGAGCGAAAGGACCAATGGGTGCTCAAGGGCCGTCCGGAAGACAAGGAGCACCTGGTAAAAAAAACATTAAGCATACTTCGAAAACTTGATATTGAACACAGAGGCGAGGCTGAGTTTCGTTTCAATTGCGATGTATTAATTAGAGGATGAAAACATCATGAAGCTCAAAAAATTACAAACAGAACTTTAAATGATGTTACAATTGAAGAAGTAGAAAAATGAAAAAAGAAATTAAAACAAAAAAATGCAAACAGAAAGTTCTTCAAAGAGGTCCTAGTGGGACTGACTTTGGACGTTCAAAAATTGATGCCAAAGTCTTATCGATCTCGCAAGTACTACCGGACATATAAAGGAAAATTCGGTAAAGAAGCGGACAGCCAATAAGCTGAAAGGATCATATTGTACAAAATTGCATGCAACGCCTATATAGGATCCACGATATCTATATATGTAGTGTATACAAAGTGGACTGCAGAATTTCGAAACTAAACCGACAGAGCTGAGTCGGCAACCATGAAGCCGAAAAATCATCAGCAGAAAAATAATATCGAAACTACATAATTGAACAAAAATCGTTTGAGTTCTAGACATAGCATGTACGATTAGTAACTAGTGCCCTGTAGTTAAATTCGAATTTCGTTAAATTTAGGATGCCAGCAGCATCATAAGTAATTCAACTGATTTTGTTAAACTAGTCGATAACCCGAAAAAAGTCTTTATTCCGATTTGAGAACGCTTGCTAATCGCAAGCGTAATGAATAAATCCTTCGATATTTTGACAAGGTCGACCGGGATTGAAGGGAGGACGAGGCGAAGAAGGTGATACGCAACCTGGCCTCGTCGGTGCAAAAGGAGAGCGTGGCGATCCTGGAATGCCCGGATCTCGGGGAACAATAGGATTTGCTGGAGTAAAAGGAGAAAAGGGACAAACAGGACCTGCTGGTTTTCAAGGAGTCAACGGAAAACCGGGACCTATGGGTGCAGAAGGAATGTCGGGCCCTTCTGGAAAAATAGGAATACCTGGATCTATGGGTCCTTTTGGGGATCCAGGCCTTTCTGGTTACCCTGGACTTGTTGGATTCCCAGGAATGCTGGGAACACCAGGTACGCCTTTAAATATACCATAAAAAAGGACGTCATAGTCTACTATCAAATATCTTAAAATTTTATCTTTTCAAGGAATCCATGGGGTTAACGGAGAACCCGGTGACAATGGAGTTCCGGGTCTGCTTGGTCTTCCGGGACAAAAAGGCTCGAGAGGTGACCCTGGCATTCAGGGATACCGTGGAGCTACCGGACTTCCAGGTATCTATCGAAACAAATGAAAGAGATAAAAATTGAATCGCTCAAAACCCGGTGAATATTTTGGCACTTATTTAAACTGTCCTGCAGGTAACACCGGCTATCGTGGTTACCCTGGAGACGTCGGAACTAGAGGGGCTATGGGCCCAACTGGGTCGCAAGGAGAGCGTGGATACACTGGTCTCCAGGGTCCAAGGGGCGCTCCAGGAGCAAAGGGTCAAAGAGGTCTGACTGGAAGCCCAGGAGTCAGGGGCCAAAATGGATTAGATGTGAGATCTTAAAATAATTTCTAAAACTTAATTTAACACAGAGCAGAAACAAACTCAACGTGCCATTATATTAAATTAAAACATTATATTACGTGCCATATATCGCTGCATTTTTGTGCTCGAGATGAACTCGAGGAAACAAAAAAAGTTTCAGCTTTCGAGTTTCACATGAACACAATACATCGCCAAAAAGCTCTCTCAACTTCAAAAAACATCATAATTGAGACTTTTTTAAATTAAAACTAAGCCAACTTTAGATGTTTTTGAGATAGATTGTTTCAATTCCACTAGGAATTCTTAATGACAAAGTCTTTTTAAACAAGGACGGGCGGTTGCAGTGCAAATAGCAATGTTTCAACCACAATAATCTTTTGTTACATTTGAAGGGAAGAGAAGCGGCTAACGTGGCTCTTAAGATGCTTCACGGTGGGCTCAACCATCCAAGTTGGTTTAGCTAACCGGAAGGAGTGATTTACGAGGGGCCTTCTTTGCTCTAAATTAAAAATAAAGCAGACTTAAGTTCGTTTCTTCACAATGAGAAAACATTTCGTAATGCCCAGATAAAATTTCCACAAAGTCATTAAATTATACAGCTCAAAATCAACATTATCTAATTCTAATTTATCTGGAACATATTCTTAGCCATCAGCAGGGAGCGCAAAAAAAGAAATACTTTTTTTTTTACTTCTTTGCTTTCAATTAAACTCAAAAAAAGTAAGCAAAAACATATAATTTGGCCTAGTCCTGAGAAACAGCAAAAAAAATTGAAAAGAAACTAGTTTGTGACGAAAATCCTGCCAAACTCCTTCATGCGCGACTATCATGACTTAAGCCCGAAAGACTTTTCAGTATTCTGAAGCCAAAACTTCTTGACTGTCGGAAATTAAAGCTGGAAAAGGCGCGAAAGTGTTGTCCCTTCTCGTTGCTTGAGGGTGAAGCAACATTACCTAGCCCAGAAAAATAACCAAAAAAAAATTGCATGTAGTTCTTAAACAGGGGCACAACAGCGGTTCTCCGTGATGAGCTGTACAAGCTCGTATGTTGGTCCTTTCCCCCGTGGATAAAAGGTCTCAATTTCAATTTAAGCTTTTAAAGGACGAAAATCGAATCTTTCTGAAATTACCTTTTTTACTTTATACGACCAAAAATTAACTTTTTTTCCGCTCCCTAGCCATCAGACTACAATCTTCAACAAGTAACAAAATCAATTCAAATTCAATTAATTTTTTGACAATATCAAACTAATCAGTGAAAGATTCTTCTTGTAGCGAAAACTTCTCATTCACAATGCCTACTGTAGACTCTAATCTTCGATTGAGCTCCAACTGCTTTTTCAAGGACTGTTGCATTTTTGAAAGCGTCAACGCAGTTGGTCCCAATTTTGAGAAGGCTCTATTTTGCTTCGGCTGTTTCTTCTGAATGCTTTCACTGTTACCATATTGTAGATGAAATTGCTCTACGTTTTTGGTCAAAGTTTCAATTTGTTTTGTTAATTTATCAAAATGAGATGTCATGTTTTCAACCAGGGACTCGACATTTCTTTCTTCGAAATCCGATGACTGGTTATGTATTTTCAGAGCGGCTACCTTTTGTCTCAACTCTTCCTCTTGATGCTTTGCAAGTTTCATTATTTCGTCACACGTTCGTCCATTGAGACTCGAATTAGAACGATTCATATCGTTGTTTTTGTCAGCCCTTCAAATAGCATAACATAATTGAATTCGATTTTAAAAAGACTGTTCTCAACTTCCACAAACATGACTAAAAAATTCTCACTACTCAATATTGATACATGGCTCATGATAGTAGTTGAAAAAAAAGCCTAACTCACGCAAAAAAAACTAACTTTTTCGATCCTCCGCCAAAAAACGGCTCAAAATTGACCTCAGCCCTTCTGAGTTTACTGAAGCCATCTTGCTTCAAGACCTGATCAATCAACTTCGCACTGTCCTCACTGTAAAAGTTGCCTCTATTACGATGACTGCTGTAGTGTGCCAAAATTATTAACTGCTCCCAGATTCTGACATCAGTCGATTGACCTACTGAGTTGCACTGTAAAAATGGTAAAATCAGATGACCAGGAGAAACTTGCAAATTTACACATGCAAGCCTAAGTCTCTCTATCTTGGATACAACTTCTGGGTTCTGAGGAAACAAAGGAATTCGTAGAGCTTCTTCAGCTTGCGCCAAAAACCACTCGATAAGCTCCGTTCGCAGTTCAGAAGGTTCAAAAAGCAGTGCTTGAAGATTTTCAGCTGAGCGGTCTGGGACAAAACTTGGAAGTTCTACCTCAGATAGCAAATCCATTTTCGAAATTTACTAAAAACAACTATCTGAAAACAGTTGAACATTATTAGCCAGTTCTATGTATTTCCTGCTTTTTCAAGCGTTCAACCAAAAAACATTGAAAATCGAAGTTCTTCGACTGATTTCGTTTTTTTTTGCTTTTAATTTAGGGTCCACTCGGAGATCCGGGAACCCCAGGTCCAATTGGTTATCCTGGTTCTGTCGGAAACCCAGGAGTGAACGGATCACCTGGGCTGCCAGGCACAAACGGATTGGCAGGTTCCCCAGGAGAAATTGGAATAAATGGACTACAGGGATCTACGGGCCGCCCTGGGGAAAAAGGGGAAATAGGGCCTGCTGGATCTCCAGGCGTAGCAGGCATACTTGGCAGCATTGGCGAAAAAGGAAAAATTGGTGATCCAGGATTCAATGGATACCCTGGAATAAAAGGACATCCAGGTGCACCAGGTCTCCCGGGTCCCAGTGGATCTCAAGGTGTCCGTGGACCGCAAGGTCAAATAGGAACAAAGGCGACAATAGGATCGCTAGGTAACTTAAATGAGCTAATTGCTAATTTATTTTTATTGATTCCTTATCGAAAACAGCGTATTTACCGAATGGACAACTTAGGTCTACCAGGGATTCCCGGAGACCAAGGAAAGAATGGCCAGCCTGGTTCGACAGGACCCGTTGGCGCTAGAGGCCCTCAGGGCGACATCGGGCCCTCATTCCAAGGTCCAAAAGGCCAGAGAGGTGACTTTGGAGGAAAAGGACTGCCAGGTGATCCTGGATTGAAAATTGAAGAAATTCAGACTGTGATATCTAAGGGACAACGCGGATATACTGGAGAAAAAGGTCAAGACGGTAAGTATCAAAGAATCGTAAAGCTACATTAAAACTCATTTGTGAATTATATTATTTGTATACCAGGAGATCCAGGGCCTCCGGGCACACAAGGTCGTCCGGCTTTATTTTCATCCAAAGGACAACCTGGCGAGCAGGGACCAGTTGGGCTGCCAGGTCAGATAGGAATCTCAATGCCAGGACCAAAAGGGTCTCGAGGCGATACTGGACGTCCTGGTCAACCAGGCGATAGTGGATCATCAATTCAAGGCCGGCCTGGTGCACCTGGAAGAAAAGGTCAATCTGGAGATACTGGCCCTCGAGGAACTGATGGACTACCAGGTTCTCTCAAAAATTCAGCATTTCCAAGAAATGTTGTTTATTAAAATTCAAAATTCGCTGTGTTATTATAGGAGCTCCTGGTTTGCCAGGGCCAAAAGGTGACGTAGGCGAAACTGGATGGTTTGGAGGGTACTTCGACGAGAAAGTTCAGGGGAAACTGGGTGACACAGGATTTCCAGGACGACCAGGTCCAAAAGGCCGCATAGGAGATTCGGGAATAAACGGTCAAGCTGGAATGCAAGGATCTCCAGGCAATGTTGGCCCTCCGGGTCCAAATGGTTTTCCGGGACCCCTTGGAGTCGCGGGAAATCCTGGGATGCGAGGTAGAGTGGGACTAATGGGACAGCAAGGCATGCAGGGCCCTCTAGGGTTCCAAGGACCAACAGGGCCCAATCCTCGATTCGCTTCAATAACATCGATTCATAGTCAGACAACTGAAGTGCCGAAATGTCCCGATGACACAACTGAGATGTTCAATGGCTACAGCATGTTCAAACTAGAAGGCAACTTACGATCAGAGCGACAAAATTTGGGAGCAGCGGGGTCGTGTTTGAGACAATTCAATGTGAACCCTTTTCTATTTTGCAATTTCAATGGAAAGTGTCAACACGCAGGTAGAAACGAGAGATCATACTGGCTGACAACAATTGATACAGATCCTTTGAAAATGCCACAACCTGTCAAAGGTCAAGAAATATTGAAGGTTGGTATATCTATACTTGATTAAACAGGAGGAACTTTTTCCAAATGAACATTCTAGAAAAAAAAATGTTTTTAGCACATCAGCAGGTGCGCAGTTTGCGATTTGAATCGAAAACCGATAACATTGCACAGTCAGGATAGAGAACCACCACAATGCCCTCGAGGCTACAGCAGCTTATGGACTGGTTACAGTTTTCTAATGGTGAGTCAAAAATATTTAGTGTCGAACTTCTATCGTCTTTATCTTTACTCATTTTTAAGTCACTCAAGGAGTTTAACTCAAAATTTAATGACCTATCAAAAATAACAAAATTTCAGGCCTCAAAATTTCGAGATTGAAAAGAAGCACCTCGGTACTTATTGTAACTCGTTACTTATTTACATTATTTCATACTTATTGCAGTATTCAGTAAAGGCACTTTCATACATACCCCACTTTTATACAAACCCCAATTCCACTTATTTAGCACACGGACACTTCGCGACACTCAGGGGGTGGCATGGATCTCTCGTCAACAGGAAGTTGTTTCCGGGAATTCACCACTTCCCCCATCATAGAATGTAATGGTAACCAGGGATCGTGTGGTTTTTACGCTACCCGAATGTCGCATTGGCTCATTGCCACCGAGCACCTCCAACCCATCACGCCTCAAATGATAGAGGGGGAAACTGAGACCAGAATGAAAGCTTCCAGGTGTTCAGTTTGCTTACCTATTTGACAGAAATTATCGACTGATCTCATCAAACACTTGCATTAACTTTGACCCATTTCGACTGATGAACTCAAATTATTTTAAATTTGATTCAATAAAACTAGCAAATTGATTTGTATAGTAGTTTTTACGGCCAATTACGATGATAGATAGCAAGACATAATCAGCTTCTCGCAGTTGCCATATGAATAACGCTTTAACACGAAACCAAGTTTCAAATTGCAACCAAAAAAGGTGAAAACGCCGACGGACTCGCAACTGACGATAGGTTTTCCAGAACTATCTTTGTATACCTCTCACTATGCTTGCGGTTGAAATAATGCCCAAATTTCGTTGAGCCCCATTAAATTAAGTTTTAGCAGTACTTCAAGAAAATCAGTAAGCAACCCTGTTAGAAAATCAGTAAAGAAAACTGACAACTGAATTTGCAAGGAAAAGTTTTCCTTTACCAACACGCTGATGAAAGTTTCAGAAAAAATTTTCATCAGCTTCGCACCACTTGCAATGGAAAAATGAATAAATATCATACTAGCACATGAACCGACAAATAAAAACATAGCCAACTGACAGTTGGAAAAGCAATGAATCAAGGAAACTGAAAAAAAAAAACAGATTTTTTTAAAAAACCTTCAAATTTTGAATTTCGAAAAAAAATAGATGGCCTTAAAGCTCTTTGGATTTGTAGAACAATATATGTTGGACATTTGTTTGAAAATAAACCCAATTTGAGGAAACTGGACCAAAAGGTAAAATTTTTATTTCGCTGGGAAATCTGATCATTAATTTTCATTTTCGAAATAAGTCGATCACGTTTTTCGTGATCTTTACACTTTCGCTGTTCGATAATCGAGTTTGCCTTCCTTTTAACAATGGAAATGCACTGAGCTTAAAGAGAAATCACATGTCAAATCAGAAAAAATCAAAACTGACCTTGAACAAATTATAAGATTTCTTCTGGAAAAAAAACTTTTACCAAAACTTGTATAAGATTTCTCATTATGTTCTGGATTATGTTCTGCATATTAAAAAACTTCAAAAAATTATTTCAAAATACAAAAATAGCAAAAAACCGATCTTGGAACCGAAGTAACTGCACCTTAAGAAAACTTACAAGCAGAGGCGAAGGAAAGCTTCGCATTACATGCGATAATACGCATACATAGCATGACAAACCTAACCGACAGAAAGAGACGAAAGTTTTTTTTTAAATATCAAAAGATTTCTTTTAAAATATCGAAAAAATTGATCTATCAAAAAACTTCTATAATTTTTCTTAATGTTCTCTTGAATAAAAATTCTTTTCAGGAAAATATGCCAAGAAGTAAGACAATTGAAAATCAAATATGCATCAAAACAAAACTAACGAAGCAGTATGAAAGCCGACAATTCTTGAGCAGACATACGTTGAGCCGAAAAAAAATGGTTTTTTTTTAGCCTCAAAAAAGATTATGAGCCCCCTCCCCCCTCAAAAAATATAGATGAAACCTTACTGCTCTCAATCTACTCCAAAAGAGGCCTCTAACTTGATATATAAATAGCCAAAACCATTTAAGCCGAATCATAAAGGAGAAGAAAAAAACTGATACTGAGCCATAAAACTAAATTTTTATGGCACGACCCAACCGATCTGGAACACCTAAAAGCAAAAAAAATACCTTGTTCCCTCAAAACTACGCATCATATATCGTCAAAACCAATATCACAATCTGAAACCGTGTAATCGAAAAAAAATTGAAATTACACCAAGAGTTTTTAAGAATACATCAAAGCATCAAAAACGCATCAAAGCATCAAATTACATCAAAGCATCAAAAAACGCTTTCAATTAAAATAGAAAAACCTTACAACACACAAAAAAAGTTTTATAAAAATGTGGCAACTAAAACGACATATCATAAACACACAGCTTATGGGCCGATTATTTTTTGATATTAAATATTATTGGTTTAAAAAAAACAAGCGCTGCCCAGATTCGAGCGCAGGCCCTCAGCCGTCTATTAGTTAAATTTAACTTTTATTTTTAGTATTACCAAGTAGTAAAATATAAATTTTCAAGAAAATGAGCAGTGGAGAATTGAATGCTGCACAAATGATTCAGTGATTTTGTTAAACTAGCAGTTAACTAAAAAAAAGTATATATTCCAGTTTGATAACGATTGCTAATCGCAAGCATAATAAAGAGGCGAAGCTGAGATTTGCTCCGCTTGCCATGCGACCCAAAATGGCACAGCGTTAACCCGAAAAATAGAACGAAAGTCTCGAAAGCTGTTCAATTTGAAGAAAGATGATGAGAGCTCAATTGCAAGTGTTAACACAGAGGCATAGCAATGAGTCGCATCACTTGCGATACACTGTAAGGGCATTTTTTTGCCAGCATTTTTTTCACTGCCAGCATTTTTATGGGGGGATGAAATTAATATCAGAAAAACAGACGAAAAACAACTACCAGTGATAATTAAGCTTTTAGAATTTACCGAGCGGCCACTTAGCCGATAACAAATGGGTAGACGCCCATTGAGCTAAAAACTGTCATAGAAAATTGTGCTTAAAAATTTTGAGCAATTCTCTAGCAAGACAAGCTACCTTAATCGTTATTTGCCTTTGAAGCGACACAAAAAGGTAACTAAGCAGATAAACATAAGCACAAAACCATTTACGCCAAATAAAGCTTTTAAGTGGAAAAAAACCAAAGAAACTATACAACAGGGCTATTAAAATTTTAAAAATACATGAGCAAACAAAAAACAACGTGCATCTACGATGAATATTGCTAACGGCACAAACATTTTCTCGATGTGGCAACTGAGTCAACAAAACACAAAGCATAAGCTCAACCCCAGACCCAAGCGTACTAGCCGACCACGTTACCTCTAGGACAAGTGAGAAGGAGTCTCGTAGTTAGTTGCTAAGATTCAATTATAAAGCAAGTAAGTAAAGAAAGTACAATTTAAAAAAATTGTTTGGGGGAATCTAGTTCACGATTATAAGAAACCTGCTCTGTAGAAAGCCGCACTTCGCAAGCACAGCGAGAAAACGGCAAAAAGCAGCTCTAAAAAGTGAAGTGAAAAAAGTAATAACGAGAAAAACAAAACTTTTGACTAGCGCCGAAATCCAACTCAAAAGCTAGAAATTGAACGTCGTCGCATGTGCACCATTGTTGCATGATAATACTCAAACACTAGCCACCTTTATAGCAGATACAACAGATGCTATTTAATTGTCAATGGTAAACCGGAAAAGAGCCGCAAATGAGCACATTTATTTGCGAGCTGGATTGGGAAAAAAGAACTTCGTAAAATGACACAAAGCTCACTGGCTTGCTTGTTTAATCAAGCGAGAACTAAGTAAGCAATAAACAAATAGGCGACTGTTGAGCCAGAAAATTTTTTTGAGCTATAATTTCTAGGCTCCTCACCGAGTACACATGCATTCAACGAACTATGATGCAACTGAACAGATATAACGATTAAACCAAAACCATTAAAGCTGAAAAAAGTCTCAAAAAACAATAAGCGAAAAAATGGAAATTAAAAAAATTTCATTCAGTTGGTTGACATTCAAATTGAAAAGAAGGGTGATTTAAAGCGCATACATACTCAAAAAAGTTGTTACCATGAAAAAGTATATATACTGGCTTCATAAATCGTTGCTAATAAAACGTAAAGAGAAACAAAGAAGCAAAGCTGCTTATCGCAAACAAAAAGGGCAAAAAGCAGCTGTTAAAAATGAGACATTACAGCGAAGGAAGACACTCAATTGCCTTTTTTAGTAGATATGCAACAACTATATTTTGCATCGAGAAACTTTGCCATAAAATCGAGACACGTAGTGTCGAGATGTGAACAAATTTCGAGATGCAAAATAATCTGTTGCTTATCTGGTATGACACACGTGAAAAAATTGCAAACATTCATTTGAAAAAATGTTCACTTTAACACACAATTTTTTCTTTCTAATTTGTTTTGGTTGATTGCTTCAAGAAGAACATTGCACAAGTGTTTCAAATATTGCACTAGTGTTTCAAATATTGCACTAGTTTTCAAAATATTACACTACTGTTTCAAATATTGTATTAGTTTTTCAAATATGGCACCAAAATTTACTGAACACATGTGGTTATCAATTAACTCACTCCTACTCTGATAACACAGATACCCTATATGTATTTGCCAGGCACCGATAAGGGTATATAAAAAAGCGAATTTAGCTTAAGTTATTTGGACTATCCGATAGAAGCTAATCTGCTTAGTGAAATTGATCCCAAAAAAAATGAAGTGAAAAGCTGCATCAAGTGATGTTTTACCACAGGAAATCTGTTATTCTTCAAATGCGCTTAAATAAATTATTGAAGAAAGTTGGGATCACTTCTTAGTCGAACCTTTTCGCGGTAAATTGAAAATGAGTCTGAACATCGAGAACATCCCAAAAATAGCCCAACGTTTTTCGAATAAGTTTCCAGAAAACTCCAACCCGTTCCATAGATCCTTCCCGCTTTTCGAGCAAGGGTTAACTTGAAATTAATGTGAGTTGTTTTGAGAAGTGGTTTCGTACTACATCAAAAAACGCTTGAAAAGTGCAACACAGGTGAAAATGCAATTTAAAAAAAGGGGTTAAGGCACGAACAGGTAGGCAAATGCGAAAATGAGCCACATAAAAAAACATGCGGTGATAACCAAAAGCTCTGCCCACTACTGGATTCGATCACCGAAGCTCAAGATTTAGAGGTATTTGCATTAAACTCTGATTTGTCGCCTCATTTTGCTTTAATTAGTTTTTTCTTGGGCGGATTTTTCAAACTTTTAAAAAACTTTCAGGAATTTAAGGATTCAGAATTCTTTTATTCAGTTTTCAGTTTCAGAGTCAAAATATACTACCGCATAGCTCTCTGAAATTCCAGAATCTTTTATGATTGACACTTTTATGATAAATTAAACCGTTTGCAACACTGGATCATTTAGTAGCTTTTTCATTTCATTTCAACTTCGAAAATTAATTTGACGCAACAAGTTAATGTACATTTTTTTCGCATTGTGCACTTTTGTCATTGACATTTTAATTTGCCATCTATTGGGCACATGAATACGAAGGTGAACTCATTGCAGAAATCAGAGTCAAACACAAAAATATAAAATTTAGCGGACAAAAAAAAAACACGAAAAATCACACTAATGCTTAGACTCGTGCAATCATGAAAGTATTTAATCGCAAGTGTAATCAATAATTGAAAACTTAATTTCCATAAAATCATTTCTAGAAAAATTCAACTCCTCAAAACTGTATAACTTTGTCAAAACTCGCAGAAAATCTTTTTATGAACGCTCTCCTCAAACTCTTGCTCCCTTTCAGCACATCGGCTAATTGAACTTTCGAGCCGACACTTGTCAGATCCCAATAGGGGAAATAGGCTTCAGCTGGTGTGCTCTGGTGCATGCTGATGTTTGTCTGTTCCAAGTAGGTGCTGTGGTCACTTTCTGTCGTTTCGAACAGCTGTGTAGCTACACTTTCAGGCGGCAGATGGAAGTGTTCTTCTAAGAGGATTTCCTTCATCGTGGTTTCCATTTTGACACTTTGGAAGAATACCTGAACAAATAATTTTTAATTCGAACATTTCAGCTCTCAATCGATTAAATTAGATGAACACTGAGATAAGTTCACTACTTCTATTTTTCATGCTATGTACCCAGTCTTTTCTACACCAAGAAGCATTTCTCGTGCTAGTACCCATTAATACGCCAAATCGTTTTAACCATAGAAGTAAATATTGTAAGTTCAAGAGGTTTAAAACTCTTATGATTTTAACACCCATTTTTTGCTCTTAAGGTAGCGCTTATAAAACATTAACAATTGTCGCCTCCAATCCAAAAATATATATCTAGCATGTATGTAACCAAAGCGTTTGGCTATTTAATCTTTTTTAAACGCTATTTTTTGAATTTTTGCTTCGTTCAAAACAAAATCGGCTAATTAGACTCTATAATGAAAACTTAGCAGGCAGTGTTACACAAAGAAGGAGAAAGCTTACCTTATTTGCGATATCAACAGCTACATCAGACATCACCTGTTGGCTAGTTGCATAGTTAACACACGCATACACAACCCTCATCAACCAGTGCATGTCAAGAAAAACAGGCAACACTGGCAATCTCTCTTCCGATTCATCATCCACAATTGGCTGTGTTAATTCAAAAAGAGGGCAGAATTTCTCGACTAACTGTTTTTTACCAAGACAATCACTCGGCAAAACTGCAACACTCCACGGTAACTTCGAAGACAAATCTGTCCAATTGAAATCCGGTTTGATAATATTTGTGAAATTCATGATATTCGCCATTTTCTTAGCTGTGTATCCAGCTACAAACGAGTATATAAGCTTGTCAGGCGTGAGATGGTTTTTGATTTCGGCGCAGATTTGATTCACCACAGCTGGTAAACAACAGATAAAAATGACGTCGCATTTTGAAGCAACCCAGACATTGTTGAAGTCGACATTCATTCCTGCGTTGGCGAAATCCGAGAGCGATTCGGGTCTACGAGTCGACACGTAAATGAGCTCGTTTGATACGTTGGAGTATGTTTTGAGAACTTTGATCAATTGCCGACCTAGACGTCCACAGCCGATGATTCCAATTTTAGCCGGATCTCCTAAAATAAAAACATTTAAGTTTGGGCACCAATTCCTACAAAATTTTCGGGAATATTAAAATAAAACCATCTCACTTGAAGATCATAAGAGCAAATATAGCCAACAGACAGTTGAACAGGAGTTAAGGAACTCAGAATAAAAAAACAACTGAATGTTTTGAATCAATTTCAAAGAGAAAATATATTACCTTGAAGCCTTTTGAAATTCAAGAATTTGAATGATGATGGACAATTGTTTTGATAAAACTAACCTAACTTGAGAAAATTAAATTGCAACAATTGGTAAATTTTCTATTCTGAGAAATCGTTAATAAAAATTTCCCTTTAAAACTCTTTGTACAAGTAAAACTTTTTCGCGTTTTTAGTCTTTTGAAACAAACCTAAATAAGTGTCTTCACTTTGTTCATTGACATTTAAACACGAAATAAAACAGAGGCGAAGCGGATCTTTGAACCTGAATACATAAAAAAACAGTGATATTTTACAATAGGTGGAAGGTTCAATTTCAATAGCTGGATCGCTTTTTGTAATACTTCGCACATTTCTTATAATTTATTTCAAAAGCCAAATTTTTTGGCAGAAGTGTAAAATTGAAATTTATGAATAGCATTTCATTTGGCAGATTAATGTATTTACTAAAACTATCTTAGTAGTAGTCCAATTGATTGCAAATGAAATGACTATATTATGCATAATAGTTCTGAAATTTAATACATGCACTATACTCAAAATTACCACCTATTGTAACATATTTAGAAAAACTTGAATACAAAATACTTTCAGATGAACTGGAAAAGCAATCAAAAATACTAAAAACGCGCAATTTGATCGTTTTGATAATCATTCAATTTCTTTAATTTTTTTTGTAGCTGTTAGACAATGTCATAAAAAGGCTTATCATTATTATCAATCAATCAAAATAATATGGCAAATTTTTGATGTTTTTGACAAAAAAAAATTATGTTTATCATTATCCACACACATTCACACAAATAACTACCCTGAGGTCGATACCAAAAAATAACGCCCTAATACTGGCAACTGAGAAAAATGAATTAGCAAAATTGCAGAAAAACCAAATGAAATGACCAACACGGCACTTTTCCAACATTTGACATAATTTTGAAACGATGGAAAAGGTATTTAGATTGTGCGAAGTAAACGTGAAATAATTTCCAACAAAATGCTGTGCAATTTAGTTTATGAAACTGTAAATTAAACTAAAAAAACGGCGAGCATTGAATTCAACAAATATAGCCGAACAACTGTTCAAACAAAAAAAACCGACAACTGAAATTTTGATGAAGTTTACATTCGAAAATTTAACCAGCGTTCAACAGTTCAAACAGAGGCAAAGCTGAGCTTCGCACCACTTCCGATTGAACAAACATAAGAAACATAAGTCGAGAAAATGGAGAACAATGATAAAAACCAGTTCTTCCAAAAAATTAAATTTTTTATGTCTCGATAGAAGTTCATTCTACGCTAACAAGCCGGAAATTTCAGTATTAAATAAGCAACGGAACAAAACTTACGAAAAGGAAACAAAGGCGGCAATCTTTGAGGAGACATAGTTCAGCACAAAAAGTGATTTAATAGAAAAAAACTTTAGTTTCAAGTCCCACCTGAGACTAGAGTGAACAATACTTGCACTTTCAACTACGAGGATGTGGAAACAAGAGAAAAGTCAAGAAAATAACTTAGAAAAAAGTCAAGACGACACCTGTCAAGCCGAAAAAAAATAATATAAAAAAAAGTTTCTAGTCCACCTCCCTGAACCTACAAAGAACAACACTTGAAAACGGATCAACGCCCAAAAACCGATCAAACTTAGCTAGACGTAGAAAAAAATAGAATTTTTCCACTCTCGAACAGAAAGCAGATAAAACTATTTCACTAATTTTTTAAATTTGTTGAAACTATCAAAATTGGAGAAACTCAGCAAATGCATTAGGAAACTTAACAGACAGTAACTCAACTAGACATTGCAAAACGATGAACTCGTCGAGCTGGAAATTAGAAGTTTTGAATTTAATAATTTTTGATCTGCTGGCAATTCAGGTTCTCGTTTCTCAATGGAAATAACTTCTTTTCAAAACAATATAGACTTAAAAGCGATGACCACTTAATTTCATTTGATGTAGAAAAACTTAGCAGAAAAATAAACGAAAAAAATATCGCAGGAAGAAACGAAAAAAGGGGCGAAATCTCATAAATGCAATTAATTACACCAGGAAAAAAGGAAAAAAAACAGCTGACAGAGTGTACAATCAAAAACATTGTGTACAATCAGTTCAACTCAATTTAATGTGCAAGCTGAAAAAAAAACGAAAATAAAAAAAATAAAAACAATTTTAAAAACAAACTAAAAAAATCATAATTTTTTGTTTAAACTTTTTTACTTTTCTCAAAAAGGGTCTGGGAAACTGATTTAGATTTTCCAAAACAAAATCTAAGACTTCAAACATTCCTAAAAAACAAAGTAATGGAAAAAATTATTCGTAAAATAAGCCGACGGAATTAAAGCCGACACTCAAGTGCCGAAAATATACCGCGGCACAGAAAATATTATTAAAGGAACTCATAACAGGCACACAAGGCCCATGCCTAATATGCACCCACTATTTTCACCTCTCCAGTAAAACACGTGAAACATTTTCACGCACGAAATCTGTGCTTAAAATTATTTACTGGGAACAAAAGTCTAGTACCCGATTGCAATACACTTGCTTATCACAAGGGTAATAGCTATTCAACTACGCAATGTAATTGGCTTGCAACAAAAAAAGATAGGAAACCTACCCTAAGCCGACTAAACTTAAACCAAAAGCGATGAAATCGAAAACAAATTCAGAAAGAATAAATAAGAATAAATTGGAAAAAGTATGAGGAATTTAAAAATTGTATAGATCAGTAACCCGAGTATAACTGCACAATTTAACAAAATTCAGGTGAGAAAATAGTGAGTGGCCAGTGAGGAGTTGGACCGTTAACACCAATACCTGGCCAGCAGTAAAGTCCCATTACCTTTTTGCAAAACGACGGACAGCTGCTAAGAAAGTAATTTTTTTTTATCGTAAATGTATTAGAAAAAACACCCATTGAACGAACCACAGTATAATTGATTTAAAGACTCAGCAGAAAAAAAAGTACGCGCGCGTACAGCTGATGTGACCAAGGAAAAGTCTTGCACCAGGTTGCAACACACTTGTGATCGCAATTGTAAAAATGAATTTGGCTTGAAGTGCCTATGATCTTAGAAAAATTGCACCATAACAAAGAAAAAAACAATTGAAATAAATTGATGAGCTAACAAACGGCCGTCCTCAACGGTCTTGGGCTTCGATATTGAACGTTTCACGAAACTTCTGACAAATTAGTCCAAATTAAATTATCAGTGAAAAGTTTCACTTTTTCCGATTCCTCAAAATCCACAAATTGTGGATCGCTTAATGATTGTTCGCACATACTTTGTACTGAGATTCGGTTTAGCAAGCAAACTATTCGGCTGAATAACCCAAATAAAACATTCAACTTACCATCTATTCCCATCTGCATGATTCTCTGAGCGGCCCTCGTTTTGTTCTTGGCCACAAACACTTCTTTCCTGGTGGCATTCATCACACTGACCAGATAACAGGCACTGACTAGACACCCAGTGGTGCTACAGTGTGCTCTGGATCTGAGGGGGAGGAGGAGACTTTGTTCAGCTGTCAGGGCAGTCTCGAACTGGAGGGAGGGGAGGCTGTCTGAGATGTCCATGTGTCCATTAGAGTTGTCTTTGTCTTTCAACATTTTGGCCGATCTTTTTCGAATTCAAAAAATGGAAGCAGAAAACCGTTTTTTACACCCAAACATTTAAATTTCAATCAAGAAAAATTAAAGTGAGCTGGTTGTTGTTGCGCGTATAATAATGATTTTGATTTATCTGTTGTTTTTATATGTGAAAGAATTTTATTTGAGCTCAAAGATATTTGACTAATATTTTTTTATTTGCTAAATATATGCAACGTGATTTTTAACTATTAAAAACGCTACTGACTAGACGCACGTTATAATTTTCTAAATCGATGGTATACATAAATACTTGGTACTATTTTTATTATTCTATTACATTTGTTAGGCTAGCAAAAACACAAATATGTACCCTTAAAGGAGGAAAAAATGGACTTCGTAATTTTATTGGAACATGGAACATATCGACTACACACTAGAGCCACATAAATTGAGATTTACAATAAAAAATGTATTTATACCACAAACTGCTGGATTCATAATAAACAGTAAATACAATGCAAATAGGAATATTAAAAGATCAAATTGAAGCAATACAATAAAATAAGGACTGTGCTCTGAACTAGGGTCTCTCGAATCCTCCCGACATTTTCCACAGCAACTTCAGCTGATGGTAAATCAAGAAAATTGATGCTAAGAGCCTGACAGGGCACCGAATGCTTATTCGATAGCATTTGCGTTGAGCACTAGACCATTGACTTGGAATTTTCCACTTTTGTTGCTATCTGAAACAGAGTCATAACAGGTGGAACCAAGAAATAGACACAAACCACACCATTCATGAAGGCGAACCAGATAAAATATTACGAAATTTGGAATAATCAGAAATATAAATGTTACGAAATATAGTACGAAATGTAGATAATCAGAATAGAATTTGAGAACATTTGGTTAAAAAAAACTGGGTAATTCAGACGACAGGAAACTCAAACGACGATGAATGCGGACAAAAAAGCTAGTTTTTAAAAAGTAGAAAACTGAGACGTCAAATGTGTTCGACTGGACAAAAGCCTACGCACTTGAACATGTTAAATTAACATGAGACTTCGCACTTGAACATGAGATTACGCTCTTCATAAATGTAAAAATTTACAGAGGCCAGGCTCCGAAAACATACAACTGAAAACTTGGTTTGAATAGTAAATTGGTTTGAATAAAAATTGAACATCAGATATGGTAACAAAATTTTGTGTTAAAATGAATTTCGAACACAGAGAAATGCCTAAAGAACTACACAACACAAAAAAATCCTCGGGTAACATCCTAATAGTATTTTCAGGAGCGGATCAAGGATTCTTTTGAGGGAGAAGGTATTTTCAAAAAATTTTGTCGACTTATCATTAGCTGATCAAATGCTATATGTTTCCGAACGCTCCCAGAACACTATTAAAGACCCTGTTTACAGACAAAATCTTGAGTGATGCAGGTCAATAATGAGACAAAAACTTTATGGTTGGTTGTCAAACAAAAATTGTAAGCGTCCTGATATTTTACACACAAACGATTCAAGAACTCATTTCGAATGATAAAATTCGGAATTTACAAAAAAGCCTTTTTATAGCAAAAAAATTTCTGGAAGTATTGGAGCATTTCTCGCAGTTATCGAGCATTTCTTACTATAATGGAGCGTTTCTTACTGTATTTGACCTTTTTTTATTCCGAGAAAACAAACTTTCGGAGAAAACAAGAAATAAATGGACAAAAAATGCTTGTGGTTGTTTTTTATTCGAACTATTTTCAGCGATAAGTTAATATTTTCAGGAAACTTTTTTATCGTGCAATGAAGATAGACTCCCTGAGATCAAACATTAAAAAGATTTTTCAGCTGCAATAAAAAAAGATAATGTTCTGGGAATTGAAAAATGCTAATTTGGTCATTTACTTGGACTAATTTCTTAGCGCATTTCCGAATTTATCTAGGATGTTGAAAGCTTCAGCGCGAAATAAATTAGCACGGCATATTGCAACGCAATCAAAAATTTTGTTTAACTGAGTAGAGGCAAGCTAAATGGTCATATTAATTGCATCTACAGATCAAAACATAACGCTTATTATTTGACATTGACTACTGGGGAAGGAAAACAAACGAAGTTCAAAAATTATAGTATTAAAAACCTTCTTTGCCAAATCCTATTCAAGCTAGCTACAATACATTCGGAACACTCAGGGCTCTATCATGATACGAGCAGTCTTGTGCTGCATACTCTTAATGGTTCAACTAATTTTATTCTCAGAACGTTTTTTTTCCACGTGATGTCTTCGAATGATATAAATTATCAATTCAAACTTTTTGAAATATATATTAGTTAGAGAAGGATAGATGATCATTTTGACGTAAGTTTTAGACTTCATATAGAATTTCAACTCCAAAAACACTGCTGGTATCATAAAAACACCGAATCTTCCGACTGTCTGAAATAAATGTTGGCTAAAAATACGAACTACCAAGTTTTATACTTTGCATCTACTTACACAATATTTGTATCAACCAGAGTGCTTCAATTCAATTCGGAACAGCTTCGGAAAAGTATTTATTGTTCCGCTTTCGAAAAAAAAACGAATATTTATGCTCGGTATGGTTTTTTATTCAGTGAATTTTCGCCGATCGAAATAATAGTTTTCGGCAAAAATTTTGATACCCCATTGAAGATATTGAGTTCAAATGAAAAAAGATATTTCACATCCGATAATTTTTTAAGTTCTGGGGGTTTGAAAATTGCCAAATTTGCCGTGTTCTGGACTAAATAAAGCGCGCTTTGAAGAATTTATTCATATGGCTGAGAGCGTAACGCGAATAATTTATGCGTGGCGAATAATCCCGCACAACAAAATCGTTCCAAATTGAATTGAGGCTAGCTTATCAGATCGGTCCCATTTATTTCGTACGACTCAACATTTCACACTTAGATGTTGTCCAAAATTTATAGGTTTTCAATATTTTCCCCAAAAACTATTCGATATGAATTAGGGGACAGTCGGAACATTCAGGGCTTTGCCCTGATATACGAGCAGTCATGTTCGCCGTTATAAGAATACAAGAACGCAATGTATCGCGCATTTATTATTTTAAGTTTTCCAAATTAGCAATTTTAAGAACACTATGTATTGCGCCCTAATTATCTTAAGTTTGCCAAATTAAAAACTTTCATAGCCCAATAACTTAACAAAAACGATCATAGGCAAAAAGTATATTTTATTTGAGCTCATGGCATCAGTATCTTTCCGACAGAAAAAAAATCTGTAAACAATGCTAGTTAAGAAAGCGAAATTGGCCCACCGAGCACAAATATTTAGTATATTTTCATCTTCAATTAGTCTGACTTCACCTCGTATGAGCCTTAACACCCCGTCAAAAGAACCAGACTACTCTATTCACTCCACCTTAAATCGACCAAATCAGAAATTAAGAAAAGTCAGTCAATCTTTAAATAGGCAACTTTTTACATATTTACAGCGCTTTTCTCAGAAATTTGGCAATGCCTATTTACTAAACTTCGCGCAATTTCTTGAAAAAAAATTCCTTCCTTTTTTGGCGGATTAGGGTCGTTTGGAATAACGATCGAATTGTTGGCCTGAAAAGCCTAAAAATTTGAGGCTGCAATTGCTGAACATTAAATTTTAATTTTCCAACTTTCTTTGCCTAAATTGTCTTAACAACAGTTCTCCTATTGGACCGATTCTCCGAAAACCTTATTTTGTTAGGAGGATAAGATTTATTTCTCCAAATTCCTTATATTATTTCTCTGTGTGCAAAGACACCCGTACTTTGAATCCTTTTATCTCTTTGTCATCATCTTAATTTAATGACTTTAATACAATCCATTTCGGTTGACCACAAGTTATCAATTGATCTTATTTTTTGTCGGTAGCCTTTTCAGTCAATTTCAAACCTAGTATCAAATTTGGAGGACGTTAGGGGGAAAAAGGTGCCCCATTAATTTAAACCGCGTCAGCACGCCGTAAGTCCACACTGGATTTCCTATCAAGACGGAAATGAGCTTTGGTAAATATTGATAACTCGCCAGTCGGGACAAATTACCCTCTGCCAACTTGTGGTATGACTTTTGACACGAATCATTTTTTGTCCCACAACCCAACGAGATAGACACTAGAGACCATATAGAGCAGAAAGAAAGAGAAGTATTCTTAATCACCTTTTCGAAGAACTAAAATTATTAAAATTCGGTATAGTACTGATATTAAAATCATTTTTGAAACAAATATGTTACAAAAAAACACGCAGAAGGTTGAAAAAAGACCAAAATTGACTACAAGAACTTACTCTGTTTATGAAGGGGATTGCGAATACTAGATTGAGACCAGGAATTCCTCTGGCGAAGCCCACTATGGTGGGGATAAAACCACTGAAACAGAAATATTCATTGAAATCTGCGCCTTTAGATTGCAATAATTATCAAAAGATTTAAAGGAGTAACTGACCCAAATAATGATACAAAACCATACGTCTCAAGAATCATTCCAATCACTGGGTAACCAAATAATACTATGAATATTCCTCCTGTGAAAAGTCAAAACTTTGTAAGATAAAATATTTATTTCAGATTGATTGAACATGCATTTAACTTACCCATGAAAAAAGATGTTCCTTTTAACTTGTGACGCTGGAAGAAAAACCTGATGGTCCTTTCAAATCCGATTATCATTGTAACACCAGCCAAAAACAGTAGCTGAAACAAAACAACAACAACAATAACCTGATTTTCAAAATGAATGAAATGACTCATTACGATGACGAAATATTTCCATGACAAAAAATCCCCACTATGGATGGTACGACACTACATATATGCAGTCCTCTGGCATATCTAAAACTGATCCGAATCCCAGCTTTTTATCAACAAAACTTAAATTTTATTTAGTATACTGTTTTTGCAAGCTTGGAATCGACAGATACCAAATGACTTAAGGGAATCGTGTATCGAATTCCAACCAAGTTTTATCACAGATAGTACTCACATTTCCTATGGCGAGCAGACCCTTGTCGAACATCATCATGACTCCCATGAAGTTGAAGAACATGCCGAATCCGACCAGGCCAATTCCTATTTCTAAATTATAAGAACAAAGTCAATTCATTAACTTATAACAGTAAAATTAAAGCTTTTTAAAAACCTACTTTGAAAATCTGATATCATCATTAACCAAACCTGAAAATATGCAATAGTCGTTAATTCGACGTCGTCTCAATATTATACAACTTAGAGCAAAGCAATACACAAACAAGAAAATTCTTGGTTTTTTTTCAGAATTATCTGCTGTTTTCTTGGGTTCTAGGGGTTGTTGAATTTAAGCTTCAAAAAACCGTAATATTGTTGAAACACGCAGGACAAATTTAAGTTTCAAAAAATGTTATGTGATCCATACTTACCTAAGATCAACTCACTCCTCTAGCGAAAAAAAAACTGATCTAACTTTTTGGTATTCAGACTCAACAATCATGATCAAATTTGACTTGAATAGCAAAACAAACAGACCGGCTTTTCTCGAAACTTAGTTCCATAACTATATATATATTTTTTCGAAATCCCAAAAACGATTGAAATCAATGCCATTGCCGCTTCAATATGATACCACACTATGATACCAATGTTTTCTTTGCGGCACTTAAGCTTTACATTGCACAAAGTCCCACTCAAACGGTGCCAAAAAAAACTTCTAAATGAATTCTAAAAAGTTTTAGCAAGACTTTAAAAACTCTTTAAAAGCTCAAACTTATGACGAAAACAAAGGAAAGACAAGACTGCTCGTATCAGCTGAATGTTTCGACTGCCTTTAAAGGTCTATGGAGTAAAGTTCCCTCTAAACGCAACTAATGAAAGTAAACAAATTTTTTTTTTTGAAAACTGCCCCACCGCGAGCTATGTAATATACTAAGTGAGAAATTTTGCATATAACGAATTATTAAATAGGCCAATGCCAAACAACATGCCTCAATTCAATTTGGAAATATTTCTTAGACGGATTAAATCTCCGCTTCGGCGCTAATAGTTCTTCAAATTAGTGTCATGTTTTGTACGTGGTGTGATGGCAAAACTATACACACGCGTAAGAAATTAGAAACTTAGGCATAATGGACAACAGTTGTCTTTTAAAAAAAATAAACAAAAAGAATGAAGAAAATTTTTTAAAAAAATCGAAATGTTTTCTAATTTTTTATCAATGTTTTATAAATTAAAAAAAAATTCTTGCCAGAGAAGATCCAAATATAGCTTTCAAAACTAGTTTCCGTTTCGGAAAACTTGAGCTTTTTAAGCCTAAATAAAAAATTTACAAATTCTCCTCACTTTATTCGGTCGAAATGAGACCAAAAACCAAAAACTTCAAACCGGTTTTTCTCGACACTAGGAAGTCTTATTGAAAATTTTTTTGATGAGGTTCAAATCACGACTGAAAGTGATTTAGTGTGATATATCACCCAGCGCTGTGCGATGTTTATTTGTTCTAACTGGAAAAAAATGAAAAAATAAAAAGTGAAAAAATAAAAAGAAAAAACTTAAACAACTAAAATGGCCGGTACAACTAAAAGCAACTTGAAAAATATTATGTAAATGATGTCGAAAAAAGAAGATTCAATTTCAGCTAGCCTATGCATAAATGACTCTGAACACATACAACATTGCGATCACAAAAAACCCTACGCCTTTGTCCCTTCAAAACACTTCGTTACGCCGGCAGAACAACTTAGGGTTCAAGTCGACAGAAACTGCATTTTTCACAGCAGTTAAAAATGTGTCAGTGAACCCTGGAAAACATATATTATTGTTCCGACTTTCGAATCGAAAGAAACGGAATATTTGTGCTCGGGGTGGTTTTTTTTGTTCAGACAAATTACGACATTTTGACAAGCCATTTTTGCCGGATTTTTAAATATCATTCAAAAGGAGGTATTATGCTGAGCTCAAATTTGAAAAAACTTTCACCTGTGATCATTTTTGGTAAAGTTACGGGGGTTTAAAGATTGCGATTTTGGCCAATTTGGGACAATTAACGCGCGATTATATTTCGCGCTATATGAACGCGTAAGCTGAGATTTAATCCGTCTTAGAAATCGTTCCAAATTGGTTGAAGGAAGCTTAATTGCCATAACTAATGTGTTACTAGGATTGAAGTTTATCACTTTACTTTGTACTTTATGTATTTTTTTATGTTATTACTGCTCCATAGACTTTAAAATGCAGCCGGAACACTCAGGGCCTCGCCCTGATACGAGCAGTCTTGTTGTTCCGACTTTCGATACGAAAGTAACGGAAGATTTGTGCTCGGGGTGCGTTTTTTTTTTCTTCAGACAAGTTTCAACTTTTTAACTAGCCATTTTTGACAAAATTTTTTTTATCATTCAATAAGTTGTTGTCCTGAAGTCAAATTTGAAAAGGTATTTTACCTGTGATCATTATTCGTAAAGTTATGGGGGTTTAAAGATTGCCATTTTGGCCAATTTGTGACAATTAACGCGCGATATATTTTGCGCTATTAACGCAGAAGCGGAGATTTAATCCGTCTTAGAAATCGTTCCAAATAGGTTGAAGGAAGCTTTTTGCCATAATTAATTCGTTACTAGGAGCGAAATTTATCACTTTGTACTTTATATGGCGTGTGGGGGAATATTTCTTCAGAAATTCGATAAAAAATTTTCATTTTTATTTATTACATTTAAATTTTTCATGTTATTACTGCTCCATAGACCTTAAGAGGCAAACGGAACACTCAGGACTTCGCCCTGATACTAGCAATCTTGTTATTTCATGTTTTGATATATTACCTTAAAACAAAATTATTGTTCCCAGCTTTGAGAAGTTAACGTTATTGTTCCGACTTTCGAAACGGAATATTTGTGCTCGGGTGGGTTTTTAAATGAAAAATCTAGTCTAGGTCTACTTGCTGGCTTCACTCGTCTAAATTGAACTGAAAACCAAAAATAACCAGTTAAAGTAAGCTTTGAAATTTCAAACATCGATTGATTAACGATTCAACGGGCCTGAATATGATACATCACTTTAACACGTCTAATGTTCATTTGCTGTAATTGCGTGGGTTGCCGTAATTTAACCGTACTTGATTTGCCGTACTTTTACATCTGATGTTCATTTGTCCTAAGAAAAAACAAATCATTATTAGTCTCCGTCCCTTTTCACTGCAGTGCCTTCCTGGAGGAGGAAGAGTGTCGTCTTTTGTGCCGGCCGTTCGCACCATGAAGCGGCGGATGCATTGGCAACCCGCCGAACAGGATTCGAAGCTCGGTCCTCGTTAAGAACCGCGCTCCTTACCCATTCGGTATTCGGTCAACGACCCACGCAAAGTTCCTTCCCTATTCGCGGTTGGATGAAAAAATTAGACATTTTCAGCGTTGGAAACGTTTAACTTCGATAAACAGTTGTTGCTGTTTTTAGATACCCCACACACGGTCTAAATTCAGTTTTTTAATTACACCATGCAAATAGCTGGTTGAACAAAAGGGTATTCAAAGGAAAATACTTTTAACATAGACGAAGCGGAGCTTCGCACCATTTGCCATACATCACAAAATTAGAATGGCAAGCTAGCATACATAAAAGGAGCCAAGAGACATTAAGCACTAAAATTTGATTAACATTGATTTTCAATACATAGGCGCTGCTGAACTTAGCACCACCAAAACAAGAAAAAATTGAAAATAAACACAAGGTCGAAACTAGATCTATCAAAATGACTAAGGCTAGTCTTGAAACAAAAATATGCCAAGATTATAGAATGTGAAATAAGCATTGAAAGATGGTGTACCCAGTCGTTACCTCCAGAAAAAGTGAATCGGAGATGCAAAAAAATTGAAATCATGAACGGAACCTAAAATTATCATTTCTAATTTTGAAAATTCTGTGAACAAAGTTGTTTACGGTAAAAAAAAATCTAGTACCCGATTGCAATAGCCTTGCTTATCGCAAGAATAAAAAGCAACTACAATAAAAAAAACTACATGCAGCAAAAAAATTCTAAGACGTGGCAACTAAGCCGACAAAACATAAGCAGACATAATAAGCCGACAATTTTTTGGAAACTGAATATTTCGTTCACCGAATGAACAGTTCCGGGTCAGGTTCAAACTGAGGACTTTGGTCGTCCCAGGCGCATTCGTTAACTCCAGACTAAATGCGCTGAAGACGCTTAGAAATTTGAATTCATTACGAACCAAGATAACAAGTGATTCTGTTAAACAAGTTAATCCAACACTGTTAATCCAAAAAGTCTATTCCGAGCGTAAGAAACTGTCTCTATCAAAGTTTTATGTGGCTTTCGACGCATGAATTTCAATTTGATTTCGCACAAATTAGCTTTCAGGCAAACAGCAGCTAGCGGTAGTTAGGACGACAATACTTAGGTAGACGCCCGTTGATCTGAAAACAAAATTTTTGTCCCAAAAAATGTCGCCATCAACCCCGAAGCACATACCCACTTAAAAATTTACCATAAACCTCCAAATGATGCCATTACCTCTAAATGGTCACAAATCCAAAAGTTCAATTTGAATTTTCATAAAACTGAGCATGTCAGCACCTTAATAAAAGACCACGTGCTGTTACCAACGATTCAAGTGATTTTTTGAACAAGTTGCTAATTAAAAATATCAAAAGATATATTTGATTAAAACTAAACTATTTCAAAGAGAAGTTTCTGATGCTGGAAATCTAACAATCTGAACCAAAACATCGCGACTTAATCTAAAATCTTCTAATAACTTCGTATCCAAATAAAGCGGAGAATTAGCAGGAGTTGTGATACCTTCGTTTTAATTGTTGGTTAAATCACGCAATTCAAGCTGGATGTTAAATGGTCATATACGTTTTCATTGTCCTTAATTGACCTCGAGAAATTAGTCAATTAGGCCATTTTTTCTTTTCTAACAGCCCAAAAACAATCGTGGGACTTATATAAACATTGCTTTAGCGAAGAGAATTACAGTTTAATCCGATGCTACATCAAATTTAACTTGCAGCGAGTAAATACTTTCAGCTTATAATTGAGTTTAACGCGAAGCAATGTTCTTTTAACTGAAAACTGAAGCTATAACAGTTAATTAACGTTAAATCAAATTTTCACCATTTAGTTCATTCATGACAGGAAGCATATAAAAATAATGAATACAGATATTTTAATTTCTAATTTCGTCTAATTTTCTAATCATATTGTCCATGCTATTAAGATTTTGGGTAATATACGATCAAATAGGTAATATGCGAGCAAATAGGTAATATAGGAACAAATAGAAGTGACCTACGGTCCTTGAGGTTGTTGAACGTAGATTAAGTTTAAGTAGCGCATTGACCTATTAAATTATAAATGGGATGAGAATCTTGGTCTTTGACTTATACTCCTGGTATCCTTCATTTTCGCCATATCTCTCATCAGATGACTTCTCCAACATTCGGAGAGAGAAGAATCCTAAAAGGAACGTCACCCAGATGGGTCCGACAGCCGCAACTAGAATCCACCACCACTCACTGAACACAGTGACTGCCGATATGTACAGTCCCCACCATAGAGTGATCTCTCCCAAGTAGTTCGGATGACGCGAGATGCTCCACAGTCCACAGTTTATGAACTTGCCTTTGTTCTCCGGCTTCCCTTTGAAAATCAGCTTCTGTTGGTCTGCGACTACTTCGCAAAGGAACCCCAGCAGCCAGATTGCCCATCCGACAAACTGTCCAATGTATGGATCCTTGCCGTCCAGTTTTGCCCATTCGAAGAGAAACAGAGTTGGGAAAAGAGTCAGGAAAACCCACACAGCTTGCCCATTCCAGGTGATGAACAACTTGATTGGGTTGACTTTGATGTCATCGAAACGTCTATCACGGCCGTCTTTCCAGATTCTGTACATGAGGAACAGTCCCAGTCTAGCAGCCCAAACGCAAATACACACATACTGGACAATTGAAAGCACATGATCGTACTGGTCATTCATGAAGAACGAAATAGAGATGCATGTTATGAACGAGAAACCTCCAACAAGATCGAAAAATTTCTCGGTTTTCAGAATAGCGGAAATTACGAAGAAGAACCATTGAATTGCAACGTCGACAATCGCAACAATGGCGATCACGGGAAATCCCATTCCTAATTCTGAAAACAAGATGACCAGATCGCTATAAAGTACAGTCAAATAAAGTAAAGTAAGAGTTACAATTCATAAAGCCAAGAAAATAAAGAGACGAATATAGTTCAACTATATACCTTGTTAAAAGTCACTTTGACTGAAACAATACAAGAACAGGATGAACTTCACTGAACCGATAACCAAACGCATTGATATATAAATTAAACCATTAAACTCAATGGGTTGAGACATGGAACAGGAAACAGCTCGTGTTAGTTCTATACCTTCAAAGTACACGTTGATGTGAATTAAGAACAAAGCAGATTATGGAAAAAGGCCATTGGCATATTCAAAACGGACAGTTCTACATTTGAGCAACAATTTTTGCTTGGAGTTACGAGTTCATTTTACCACTCCTGATATCAACGGTATAAACCAACAAAGGTTACTTTAGGTCGAATCACAAAGATAAATTGAAATAAAAAAACAGGGATAGCCAGTTACTAGTAATAGTAATAGTATAGGCTTTAGAACAATTGTCCGAGGGTTTTCACCCCTCAGTTTTCATCTGGCACGAAATTGAGTTTTTTCAGGGTGTTGCAGGTTCCACAAGTGCACTCGCCATGTACATGAGTTAATCTCGTTGAGCTTTTCTCGGAAGAACGTTTGATATAGCTTTGTGATTGTAATTTTGTTGATTACCCCCATCTGTTTTTACACTCCTCTGTATTATGTCATTTTTTTTCGGCGCGGTGTGATAAAAGGAGCCGAACGAAAAAACTACAGATTAGATATATTCGACAGTTACAGTAAAATACGCAACTTAAAAAACAATTATTGTAGAACACTGACAAAAATGGAAAAAAATCAAAAAGTTTTTTGTGCATTTTCTTAAATTTTCGACTCCAAAAAGGCGCTAAAATACAAAAAAAAACTTACGTTACTCGGGCAAAACTAAGTTTTTACGTTTTAAATTAAGATATTGTAATCTTTTAAGCCATTAAAATACGCTTTTGTTAGCCTGCTCGTACGCTTTATTTGCTGGAATTAAGATGAAAAACTCATAACTTCAAACCGGGTTTTCTCGACACTGGGAAAAATTTTCGAACCACGGCAGTAGGGGCTTTAAAACGATATATCACTCGACTCTCTCCGATGATTATTTGTGGTAGCTGATTTTGCGTGGAAAGCAAAAAATAAAGAAAAACCACACCCAAATACAAAGTTCATAGCAACAGGTCCTACAATGATATGCCCCATTAATCATACGATCATCAAAAAAATTATCTTTTCATTGCCTCTGATTAAGATTTCTGTGAAGCAAATATTCTTTTTCTTCATTGGTGGCAAGCATTGGTGATGTCATGTGGCAAAACGTCCTCAAAGACCTCGAGATGGTGATGACCGAAGGGGTCAAGATTGGAATGGAATTGAACCTGAAAAACAAGTCCGAACTCATCGTTTTCTGTGATGATGCACGAGAGAGATCCAATCTTTCCTGGCGGTTTTTCCTCATATTACCATCACTGAACCCACAGATTTAGTCCTCTTAGGTGCTCCTATCGGCGAAAACGCACAAGAAGCCGTTGTTAATGAGAAACTTGATGAACTCAGTCGAATGTGCAGTCGATTGCGATCCCTACCTTCCCATGTTGCTTTCTTTCTTTTAAAAAACTGCTTTTATATCCCGAAACTGATGTACATACTGCGAACCTCAACTCTTTTCCTTAAAACTACTTCTTTACACCGATTTGACGAGTGCATTCGAAATACATTGCAGGCTATTTTCAATGTGATGATTGACGATCCCCGATGGGAGCTCATGACACTGCCTTGCAAGCTGGGCGGAATGGGAATTATGCAAGTACCCAAACTCGCCATTGCAGCATATGCGTCATCTGTATTCAGCACTCTCGACATTTGTAATACCATATATGCTAGCGAACCCACTACAGAATCACTAATTCAAGATGCTATCCAACGTTGGCGAAACAACGTGAGCACCGACGTGCCTTTGCCAGAACGCAAATATAAGCAAAAAAAGTGGTCACTACCAATGATGCTTCAACAGGCCGAACTGCTCAAGGATTCAGGAGACAGTGCCCGCTTGAATGGATTAATGTGTCCCGGAGCTGCTGACTGGCTCAACGCACTACCTTCACGATCACTCGCACTCCAACTTAGTGATGATGAATTTCGCATTGCCATTGGATTTCGACTTGGCGCACCAGTCTGTACACCACACAAGTGCTCTTGTGGCGATACAGTCGATTCCTACGGCAAACATGCGTTAGTTTGCAAAAAGAGTAGATCAGTTCATGCCAGACACTCTATGGGCAATCACATCATTCATAGAGCGTTCATCCAAGCCAATATTCCATCGACACTCGAGCCGCAAGGACTATTCCGGTCTGACCGCAAGAGACCCGACGGACTGACACTGGTGCCATGGTCACATGGGCGAGCGTTGGCATGGGACTTTACATGTGTCCATAGGCTAGCCTCCTCTTACACGCAACTCGCTGGTAAAGAGGGACCAACTGTGGCAGATGCGGCCGAGACCCGTAAACGGTCAAAATACGAATCAATATCTGAGTCTCACATCTTCCAACCAATTGCAATTGAAACCCTTGGAGGACTGGGAACCGATACGCTGCGTTTCGTCACTAGCCTGGGCAAGAGAATAACACAGGCTACCGGGGACGACAGAACGACTCTTTTTCTGCGGCAGAGACTTGGGATTGCTGTTCAGCGGGGCACTGCAGCTTGTGTCCGCGAGACTCTGGTGGTGGAAGTCGATGACCCGATTGGCGCCGACTTCCGGCGATAAACAAGTTCAAACTGTTTTAATCTCCATTTAAAATGTTGCTTTTCATATGACTCTGGTGCTTATTTTTACCATTTCAAACTTTTTTATATTACTACTTCTACTACCAATAGCAATTGAGTTCTTTTTCTAACCAGGATAGCGGTTGCTATGCAGTTATATGCAACTACCGTGTAACGCACCTTCGGTGCTTCGAATTTATGGCAACTCTCAAAACCGCATATATTAGAAACAATATTTCCATCCGTTGAATGTACTCTGACAGCACCCAATTCTGGGGTCTGTAATTTCAAATTTTGTAAAGTTAATCAAGTTTTTTTAATTCAAAATTTGAAAAACCATACATTTTTGTGATTTTTTAATCTAAGTTCGTAGAAAATTTTTTAAATGACAGAAACACGCCAGTTCTCGGAAACTAAAAGCAATGGAGCAATCGCATTTGGACCCAAGTTTGCAACTTCTGAGAGTACTCATAGCACCCAACTACAGGGTTGGGAACATCAAATTTCTATTTTTTTTTAAAGTGACATATCTCCAGAACTACAAAAATTTCAGAACTCATATTTGGAGGCAAAAATTGCAACCCCTGAGAGTACTCTGACAGCCCCTAACATCAGATTAGGAATTCCAAACTTAGAAAAAAAAAAATTTAAGTTTTCTGAAAACTTTTTTGAAAACAAAAACACAAAAACGTCGTATCTCGAAAACTAACAGGATTTAAGAACTCATAGTTGCAGGAGAAACTCGCAACCCCTAGGAGTGCCCTGGCAAAGCCTCAATATAAAGATAAGAACTTAAAAGAAAATGTTTATATCTAAGTTCTTTGAACATTTAAAAAAAGAGAGATTACAAACGTCACATCTCGGAAACTAAATGCATTTGAGCAGTCGCAATCGGATGCAAAATTTGCAACATGAAACTCTTGAGAATACCTTAACAGTACCCAACTACAAGGTTGAGAATTTCTATACTTTTCAAAAATTATTTATATTTATATTAAATTTTAAAGTTTTTAAAATCTAAGTTTTCTGAAAAAATCAAAATAAAACATAAAACACGTCATATCTCGAAAACTACAAAGATTGGAGGCAAAATTCGCAATCCATGTGAGTACTCTGACAGTCCCCACTACAAAAATGAGAAAATCAAATTTAAAAATTAAATATAATTTTAATGAATAATGTTTGAAAAAGTCACAAAAAACGTCATATCTCGAAAACTTGAGCAGTCATATTTGGAGGCAAGTTTCGCAATCCCTCAGAGTGCCCTCACAGTTTCACACTACAGGATTGAGATCTTCAAAACTTTTAATTTTTTAAATCTAAGTTTTTGGAATATTTTTGAAAAAATTCGAGAAAACGTCATATCTCGAAAACTACAAGAATTTGAGAAGTCATATTCAGAGGCAAGATTAGCAACGCATATGATTACCCTCACAGTTCCAACTAAATGCTTGAAGACTTTCAAAATTTCTAAACCAAAGATTTTTGAAAATTTTTGAAAAAATCATTAAAAACGTCATATCTCGAAAACCCGAAGGATTTGAGATTTGAGATTTGGCTGCAAGGTTCGCAACCCCTCAGAGTACCCTGGCATCACCCAACTACAGTGAAAAGAATTTCAAATTTTGTAAAAATTTTCAAAATTTTAGGTTTCAGGAGATTTTTGAAAAATCTCGAAAATTGCCGTATCTCGTACACTAAAAGGATTTGGTTATTCATATATGGAGGCCAAAATCGAAACACCTGGGAAGCCCTGACAGCATCCCAATATTGGGTTGCTAATTTCAAACTTGGTGAGCTAAACACTGAATTCAAACTCGAAAAAATCTTAACCATTGCAATATACGATATAGCTTAAACCTGAAAAAATTCTTTTCTTAAACATGCAAAAATAATTCGTTGAAAAAGCTTAAGCATGGCGAGATAGTGAAGCCCGCAATTTAATATATAATAGATAGATAGATAATAGAAAACTCCGACCACAAAATATCAACCTGAAAAAAATTCGAATTTGTTTTGTAGTATGGATTTCGTGCCTTGACACAAGGGGTCTCCCCCGTCATTTTTCTGTTCTTTATTTTAGTTTGCTTCGATGGTCATTTAGGGTGCAGTCACACGCAACTCCCAGAAGCACTTGTTCTGCTTGCCACAATCGAATTTCATTTGGATTATCCATCCTGAACATTTCCTGAATTTCTCGATGAATTTTTCGAAATTATAGAAATCGTATTTCTCGAATTTCCTCCATAATATCCATAGAATTTTGAACGAAATCCTAGAACTTAGGTATCTTTGAAAATTAGAGCAACTTAGGCAAATTCCAGAGTTGTCCTCAAAAAATCTGTTGAAAAATTTTCAAAAAATGCAGAAAAGGCACCAAACAAA